CCCTCTTTTGAGAGAGGGATGCAAATGAAGACATTCAAATTTGCAAATGAAGCGGGGATTTAAATATCCATGCTTCATTTGCATAATTGCATTATGGCGCAATTTCAAAATAGTGCTATTTCAAAATACAAAATGCGGTGTAGATGCGGTTATTTCGGGAGAACATCCTTCTTCCAAAATAACTGTTAAGCCTCGTTTTATGTGGAATAAGGTTTATTTCCGAAGAAGGGTGTTCTCCCAAAATAACTGCATTTACCCCGCATTTTGTATTTCATAATAGCGCTATTTCAAAATAGCGCCATAACGTGATTATGCAAATGAAGCGCGAGATATTTAAATCTCTGCTTCATTTGCAATTTTGATTCTCTACATTTGCATCCCTCCCTCGAAAGAGGGTGCAAGTGTAGACATACTCTTAAGCTACGTCTACATTGGCAAGATTTTGTGCAAATACTTTTAACGCAAGAGTTTTTGCGTTAAAAATATTTGCTCAAGAGAGCGTCTACACTGGCATGTGCTTTTGCTCAAGAGATGTGCTTTTGTGCAGAAGCATCCATGCCAGTGTAGACGCTGTCTTGCGCAAGAAAGCTCCGATGGCCATTTTAGCCATCGGGCTTTCTTGCGCAAGAAATTCATGTTGCTTGCCTACCTTGGCCTCCTCTTGCACAAGAACAGTTGCGCAAGAGGGCTTATTCTTGAGCAGGAGCATCATAGTTCTTGTGCAAGAAGCACTGATTTCACACATTAGAACGTCAGTGTTCTTGCGCAAGAACTCTCCGCCAATGTAGACACAGCATTAGAGACTAACAAAAAATGTAGATGGTGTGTAAGTGATAATGGCAAGTATTAGAAAAGGGCACTGGGTCAAGCTTAAAAAAAGGATAGGAATGAATGGGTGTGTGTGCTGGGGGGAGGGAAGGGACATATCCTGTCCCAGATGCCATGAATCCTGGGGCTGTGTCTAAACAGGCAAGTTTTTCCGCAAAAGCAAAAAATTTGCCAGCTGTCTACACCGGCCGCTTGAATTTCTGCAAGAACACTGACGATCTCATGTAAGATTGTCAGTGTTCTTGCGGAAATACTATGCTGCTCCCGTTCGGGCAAAAGCCCTCTTGTGCAAAAGCATTTGCGCAAGAGGGCCGGTGTAGACAATGCAGTATTGTTTTGCACAAAAAAGCCCCAATTGTGAAAATGGCGATCGGGGCTTTCTTGAACAAAACTGCGTCTAAATCGGCACGGACGCTTTTCCGCAAAAAGTGCTTTTGCGGAAAAGCATCCGTGCCGATCTAGACACTCTTTTCCACAAATGCTTTTAACGGAAAACTTTTCCGTTAAAAGCATTTGCGGAAAATCATGCCAGTCTAGACGTAGCCTGGGAGTGCAATCCTGTTCCCAGTTGTGAAATGCTTCCATTTTCCACTAGGTCCAGGAGAAATGGGATTATAGGAACAGCCCCAAAGAGGTGGGGGTGGGGGGAGAAGTGTCTCCTTGAACATGTTGGAATTTCACTGTTTTGTGAGCCCAACCTATAGATCTTGGGCATCTTTTTACAGCAAAAAGTGCTGGCGTTCCCCATGGAAGATGATCAAGCTGTGCATAAATGCCTTTGGTATGGCCGGTGCCCCAGTTGAGTCCCGTTTTGTTGGTGATTTATGTGCTATTGTGCTGCACAGCTGCCACTTATGGGAAACAATCCCTGGGTTTTTTTTCTCAGTCTTTGCCATGTTTATATGAAGCAGGTGTCTGATAAATTCCAAGTGCTACAGTTAGGGTTTTTTGTGGCAAGACTGAAGAGCAGAACCTGGCTTGTTTCTACAGCATCTGCACTTGCACTTTGAAGGCTGGCAATTACAAGGGCTATCAACTCACATACTGCAGGGCATACTGCTGTGCAGCCGAGCTCAATTCTCCTCACTGCAACGCTGCTGCTCAGTGCCCCCCATTTATGGCAGCAGACTGAAGGATGGATTAAAAAGATTCTTCATAGTTACTTCCAGCCATTGCGTTACTGGCTCTTGTGCTACTGCTCAGATGTAGAAAATACAATGGCTCGTTGAAACTCATTGAACTGGAGTTAAGTAATATTTGAAACTGGAGCCCAACTGCAAGCAAACCAGAATCTTACTTTAAAACAAGGGTGGAAAACCTTTTTTGGGTTGGGAGGCGACGGTACAAAACCCTTCTCATCAAGCGGGGACAACCCAGAGTGTAGAAAAGTATCCCAACCACTGGCCTATAGAGTGGGAGAAAAAAACCCTTGTTTTCCATTAAGCTATCCTGCATTGGAAGAAAATTTTTCAACTAATTCACTGCCGCCAATGGTATGAGGGAAAATTGATATGATTAGTTTTAAGTAAATAAATAGCTAAATCATCATTTTCACACAAAAAACACTTGGGCAACAGTGATTTTTATTTTTTCTTTTAAAAATACTCACTGTTCCAGATAGTTTTTATAGCACGTTAATACATTATTAAGATTGTTAAGCATGTTACACCTGTTACTCCTAGAGAAACGCACAGAATCTATGTCCCCTGCCGTATTCTTTGCTTCCCTGTAGATAAAAATGACTTTCTGATGGTGAAACAAGGGAAAGCCACAAGAGTGGTCATTCAGCTTGCCTCAGCAGTGTGTTTTGGGTACCCAGGGCAGCCAGCAGAGAGGTAAATCACTGTGGGGCACAGCCCAGGAAAGACCCAGCTGGTGGTTCCTACTCTGCACTGAGCTAAGCTGCTAGTCCCAGCTGAGTTGGGGAAGACACGGACTTCCTTGCTTCCCACCACCCTCAGCTTTCTCCCCTAGCTGCAGGAAGCTCTATAAACTCTCCTCCTGTCCCCCTCCCCCCATCCTTCACCCATTGCTCCTCAGCTGCAGGGGGAGGGATCCCTTTACGGGAGCTGTTGCACCATCTGCCCAGCCCTTGTGCATCAGGCTCCACTGAGACCCAATCTGCCTGCTGAGGCACACAACGCAGGCGGAACCCTCAAATGAGTCCCATTCCCCCCTGTACCTGGCCCACCCCAACGAGTCCCAGCCAGCTGATCTGGATTCCCAGCCCACTGAGCCCCAATCCCCTAACAGCCCCTTCATGGAGTCCCCTGTACTTAGCCCCACTTGCTGAGCTCAGTCTTCCTCACACCAACACCCCCTTGCTAAGCCTCAATCACCTTGCAGGCGGAACCCTCAAATGAGTCCCATTCCCCCCTGTACCTGGCCCACCCCAACGAGTCCCAGCCAGCTGATCTGGATTCCCAGCCCACTGAGCCCCAATCCCCTAACAGCCCCTTCATGGAGTCCCCTGTACTTAGCCCCACTTGCTGAGCTCAGTCTTCCTCACACCAACACCCCCTTGCTAAGCCTCAATCACCTTCGCCTGGACCCACCCTGTAAAGTCCCAATTCTGTTGCACCGTCCCCCCAGACAAACTCCTGTGCATCTGGAGCTCCCTGCCCCCCCGCATTCATATCCCCCCACATCCAGATTGTCCCACCCTGAACCCTCTCTACCTGTACCTGGATCCCCCCATAGTAAGCCCCTTCACATTTGGATCTTGCCTTGCCAAGCCTGTCTAGACTTGGTGCACCTGGTCGGGAGGGGTGGGGCCCTGGGGTGTCTCTGGGGCAGACCTGTTCCTGGCACTGTGTCAGGGTTGGGTGCAGGATCAGCACTGAGTTTGTGTCCTGGGATGGGGAGCTGCACCGTGATCTCTCATTTGGAGCCAGTGGCCAGTACGGCGCTCTGCCATGCCAAAGCCATCACAGTGATTTGACAACTCAAATGTGCAGAATTTGAAAATAGTGTGTGTGGAATTAAATTGTTGGTGCCGAATGCCTTCAAGAGCAACCTGTGAATAATGTTAGAGATCAGCGGTTCTCAAACTTTTGGGGCTCCAGATCCCTTTTAACATGCGTAAACATGTATGCGGCGCCCCAGCCGTCCACTGATTGTATGTGTTGTACCTATCAACGTTTCCAGTTTGTCAACCTCACGGAGCCCCTGGAGATGTAGGGCTCCACGGAGCACAGTTTGAGAAACACTGTTATAGACCATTCTAAGCACTTCCTTTAAAAGCATTATAGCTGGGCATAAGCCCCAGTCATAAACAACATGTTGACTGGTAGATGGTTTAATAAATAATTGACTTTAACTCTGTGTGAATTATTTATAAATGAAATGTTAATGCAAAGGCTGATCCATCATTCTTTCAACATCTTCCTGTTCTGGGTTCAGTACTGTGCCACCACAGACACTCAGCCCTGAGCTATGTAGGGAAGTACTTCAGGCAAACTACATCCCTCAGGGATTTGACCAGTCCACGCCCCTAAGCCCGGTGTGGATAGCACCACATCCGTGGGGCAGCTTTTCCTGCCAATGCAAGCTGCGTACCCTACCCACTGGGGGAGAAAAGAGTGAATCTCCTGTTTGCCATGGCCCCAATAGCTATTTCATTCAAATGGAACATCTCGGACAAGCTAGACAAAGAAATATCCACCTCCAATTCAGTGACAAGGGCAAGCGCCTGGGAGGTGGAAGGTTTCAATTCTCTGCTGTGCTGCTGACGAGGGATTGAATGGGGGTCTTCATAACCCAAGGCCTATCCTAGCCCAGCAATGGCCAATGTAGGCTAGTGAGTGGGCCACATGAGTGGCCCTCCATCTCAGTGGAGGATGGTAGAGTGTTAAGTCAATGAGAGAATTTTTCCACACTGGCATCCAGTGTCTTCCGCATGAGGGTGAAAGCAGTGCATCAGTATAGCTTTCAAATGCAAACCTGCCAATCTGCATCAACAGCCGGTCGAGCCATCCGCATTCTATCCTGATGTCAGTTATTCTGTTTTCTTAATTGCTCGTTCTAAGTGTTTTCTGTAATTGGTTTTTTTGTGACCAGTGATTTTAAACTATCCTGGAGGGTGCCTCTAAGAAGCACCATTAAACTCTTATATGTTGGTTCTGTGGCTAAATCTTTTATTCTTTTCTGTTTTCTCCCCCTTCCTGCGCTAGGGTGAATGTTCTCAGAAGTGCTACGACATCTTTGTGCTGGAGACTGTTTGTGTGGCTTGGTTCTCCTTTGAGTTCCTCCTGCGCTCCATTCAGGCGGAAAGCAAGTGCGCCTTCCTGAAGACCCCTCTCAACATCATCGACATCTTGGCCATCTTGCCTTTCTACATCTCTCTGATAGTGGATTCGGTCTCTGCCAAAAACAGCAGCAGCAAGCCCAGCAGCGGCGTAGGAAACAAGTACTTGGAGCGAGCAGGCCTGGTTCTGCGTTTCCTGAGGGCTCTCCGCATCCTGTACGTCATGAGGCTGGCACGTCATTCCCTGGGGCTGCAGACGCTTGGACTCACTGTGCGCCGCTGCACCAGAGAGTTTGGACTCCTTGTCCTCTTCCTGTGTGTTGCCATGGCACTCTTTTCTCCCCTGGTTTTTTTGGCAGAGAGTGAACTGGGAGCCAAGCAAGAATTCACTAGTGTCCCCACCAGCTACTGGTGGGCTGTTATCTCCATGACGACTGTAGGCTATGGAGACATGGTACCTCGGAGCATCCCGGGACAGGTAGTCGCCCTGAGCAGTATCCTGAGTGGTATTTTGCTGATGGCTTTCCCAGTGACGTCCATCTTTCACACTTTTTCCCGCTCCTACATAGAACTGAAGGAGCAGCAGCAGCGAGCTGCAAGCAGACAGTTGCACCAGCTTGAGGAAACCACCAGCTTCCCAAATGGGGACAGTTCTCAGGGAGTGGGTACCTCCTCCCCAGGAGACAAGAGGAGCTGTTGACTGCAAATGACTTAGCCAGCAGCACTGAACTAGCAAATGAAAGCGTTCCAGATCTGAAACAAAAGCCAACGAAATTAACATAAGCCAGGGTAGTCAGTGAGACTTGTACATGAGACTGTCCTTGTTGAGTAACTTTGGCTTAAAGGAGCACCCCAAAGAGTCTCTAAAAACAACGGTGGAGTCCTGTTCTGCTCCTTCCTTCATAGAAGGCCACCTTCATTGAGCAACTGATTGGGGGCAGCCCCCAGGAATCAGTTGCTTAAGCCAGGTTTCTGTTGTGTCTGCTAACACACACACACACACAAAATGTGGAGCAAGAACACATCCTAATAAAGGCCCAATGTTGGTGGAAATAAGGGTGCCATTTACTGTACATAAGCTGGTGGTCCTACTCTGTGCTGAGAATGATCCTAAACCCTTATTTCTTTGGCACAATGGATGCACTCCACGTGGCACCCCCCATGGCGTTTACATCTCAAGGGTAACATTGAAAGGGGGAGAGAGGCCTGCCTTGGCCAGCAGAAGGGTGAACTTATCCCTAGTCCCTTGGCTTTTAATAAACAGTGGTGTGTTTTTTTTTAAATTAGGAACCATAATCTGGGCTGCTGGCTGCCAGGTCTGACCTGAACTCTTGCTGCTTAGGCATTATTTAGAAAACACACATATCTACCACACTAGGCTTTGCACCTGAGCCCTGATGACAGGCATATACATGGACAGCCTTGTTAATGAAACTGAATGGCAGCTTGTTTTCCATTGCTCACATTTGCATATATCTTTAAAACATTATTCCTCTACTAGCCAATTAGCCCATCATAAGACGGGATTTTCAGGTCTCTCCTTCATGTCGGTCTTCTCTCCTGAGGCTCTGGTCTCTCGCTCCATCTCTCTCTCTCTCTCTCCTCCTCCTTCTACTACCTTCCTCCCCCCCCTCATCTCTCCTCCGCCTCCTGCCTCTCTCTCTGTCTCTCTCTTTCACCTCTCCTCCCCCTCCTGCCTCTCACTCGGGGGACCGTGGAGCCCAAATGGCCATTTGGGCGCCGCACTCCCCGTGCTGCATTGGGGGCCTAGAGCCCAAATGGCCGATTGTGCTGCTTGCTCCCACGTGGTGGCCGGGCTGAGCAGCACAGAATCAGCCGAGCGGAGGTGAAGGGGGGCGAGGGGCTGACGTGCAGCGTGACAGCAGCTCCAGGCCCCACCCCCTAGCGGTGAACGTCACTGCCCCGCCCCCCTTCGCCTCCCACCATGGCACTCAGCTGACTTCTGCGCTGCTCAGCCAGGCCGCCGCGGGGGCGCAAGCAGCCGTTTGGGCCCCTTACTTCCCATGCAGCACGGACCACTCAGAGGGCACAGCCAGCATTTCAGCAACAGCCCCCAGAGGGAACAGCCAGCATTTCAGCGTTACAGACTCTCAGACACTGGGCTACTATCAATATGATTAGCCTTCCCCCTCGTTTTAAAGGCTGTTTAACAGGCAAAACTCAGAAGCAGCCCAGTAAGGATAGCCTTATGGTAAGCCAGGATGGAAATAGTTGCAGAGATTCATGTCTAGTTTTCTGTAGTGGTAGGTTGATAACTGCAGCAGTATATAAAGGGCTTGAGCCAACCCCCGTAAGTCAATGGGAGTTTTTCCATGGACTTTGGGGCTCAAGCCCCAAAGCAGCAGCTGCCTCTTAAGTTAGGGATTAATTGTGCATCTCTTCCCAACTGGGAAAAGATGATCTTTTTAGACCCTGGTCACAAGTGTCCTTCATCCCTTATCCTTAGTTTTCATTCCGAAAAAGCGCTCTCTTTAAACAAAAAGTCTATTCCACAAAAACTCAACTATATTTTGTTTACGGAATCAAATTTTCCATATCCTGTGCATCTGTGAGCTCTCTGCCCCACACTATTTCTCCTCCTCTGAGCTCTGTGGCTGGTTCAGTTCAGCGTGTCACATACTAGGGATGTTAAATATCAATTAACTGAATAGTTGATTAACCCCATGAATGCTTGAGGATTGGTTAATTTGACTATTCTATAGTCCCTGGGGTGGGGCCAGCAGGCAGCAGCATGTATCAGAGGCAGCAGCATGGGGTGCCAGGTGGGAGCTGGTCTGCAAGGGGAGCCAATTTAAAAACCAGCTTCCCCTCATGGACTGGATGCCTGTTGCCCCACACTGCTGTCTAATAAAGCAGCAGCTGCCCCTGTCTAGGGGAGGTCTGAGCTCCCAGATCCGGCATAGCTGCAGCAGGGGTAGGTCCCAGACCTGGTGCAAGCCAGGACTGAGCCAGGCTGCTGGGGGAGGGGAGTGGGGAATGCATGTAGTCTATAGCATTAACTGATAAACTTTTGCTTATCAGTTAATTGAGTACACTATTACATCCCTATCATGTACAGCTTGACGTATCCCTAATACTGAGTACTGTTTAAGAAAAACAATATCGATGGGTAGCTCGTTCTTTATTACTGCAAGAACATTGCACTGGCCTTTTCTATTCCATCCCCGCTGTCAGAAAATGAACAAATATTGTTCTAATACAGGTGGTTCTTTTCCCACAATGGAGCGAATAGTCCTACAGTAGCAGATGACTGCAGTAAGCCATTCCTCAATGGACTGGCCTGAAAGACATACAAGGTTGTTTGGTTTTAATAAAAACTGGAAGTTTTGTTCCTGTATTGTTGCACTGGCTTTTTTTTTTGCCCCCTTTTGAGGCAGTGCCCCATGCTCTAAGGGCCCCCTCCCCCATGCTGGATAACAGCCATTTCCTTGTTTAATTTAAAATAAAAATCAAGGTGAACATTTGAGCTGGCGTTAGGCTGGAAACCATGACAGAGCCCACGTGGCCCAGAACAGATTTTGGCATGATGGTGCTGAGTACATCCCTTGTCCCTTACCCCATCCACGCCCCTCACTACCCCTTAGAATTGCAGCAGGCAGCAGTGACCTCACAGGCGCGGCCAGTGGCCAAGACCTTATGGCTAGCAGCAGAACCCCTGGGCAGCAATGCGCCTGGCTGCCAGGACCCCAGGCAGCTGGGACTCCAGGCAGCAGGGGACCTACCTCGCGTACCGTAACGTCCCACGCCCCTGCTTTCATTCTCAAATGAGTGCCTAGGTGTGGGGTTGAAATCGAAAGGGCACTTACAAGGCACTGAATAGTGGTCTCCCAGCCATTGAGCCATTTTAAAGGCACCTTATATCTGAGCTGTGGAAATAGCATTCCTCCCAGGGAGGGAGCCACAGAAATACCATGCTGTTTTTTAATATGCATTGGCTTCACCAAGATTAAACCCCATCCCTCCAAACAACTTTTGCGGTACTAGGACAAGGTGCTGGTTATTAAAGAGCTATATTCTGCCTCTTCCATAAAAAAAGGAGGAACATGACTGCCCTGCCGCTCTCTGACACACGTCCATGCCTGCCAGCATCTTCACAGCATCCTACTTTCAAGTAGGAATAAAAGATCCTCCGGAAAAGGGCTTTATTCCGGAGGATCGCGCCAGTCTAGATGCTCTTTTCCGGCTTTTCCCCAAGCTGGAAAAAAAGCAGCGGCCATGTTTATTTAAATCCCGCGGGGGATATTTAAATCCCCCGCGGATTTCCCTGTTCTGACTTACCTGCTTTGCGTGACTTTTCCGGAATTAGGGGCCAGTCTAGACGTAGCCATGATGTTTATACATATATTCTAAAATCTGGAAACAGTGATTACACAAACCTGAAGGGTTAGTTTACAACGGATTTGTAACTAGTTCTTGAAATGTTGGTAATAACTGTGTCTATATATCTGTTGAAGTCCTTGAATCTAAAAGCATTTGATTTTTTAAAAAGAAAAGCATATCATGTTTTTCCTAACAGAATGAAAATAATCCTTTACAGTTGGAGGCTTATCAAATAGCAATTAATGAAAATCCCTTGTGGATCAACAACTTAGAAACCTGTATTAACTAGGCTTTGGTTTTAGCTGTTTTCATTGAACCCGTCACCATAGTATCTAGCAGCCATGTGATGGGTATTTATAATATTAAGTATCAGAGGGGTAGCCATGTTAGTCTGGATTCACAAAAGCAACAAGGAGTCCTGTGGCACCTTATAGACTAAAAATGTATTGGAGCATAGGCTTTCGTGGGCAAAGACCCACTTTGCCAGATACATTTCATGGGCAAAGACCCACTTCGTCATGCCATGGAAATGTAGAAAAAGAATGAATTTTCATGTCCAGCACCTTAAGATCCCAAAAGTATTATTGAGAGATTATGTACTGCCCAGTGCAAGCATCTTATAGTTTCAAAATCCGTGTAATTAAATCACAAGGTGCACACAGTTATTTGACCAATAAAATGACAACTGCAAAGACATATTATTCTTTGTTACATAAAGCATGGCTTTTAGTAAAGGTTCTGTTTGCATTTGACATGACAGACCAGGAAAATACAAATCAGGAACCCTTTAAACAAATTATTTTGGAAACCTTACCAAGTTGCACTGAATGGCAGCCAGAAGACACCCACAAGAGAACGATTTTTATTTAGTAATAGGTCTTGGCACTGCAATGGCTTATGATATTTGATCAAGAACCAGAAAACGGCTTTTTTCCTACTTCTCTGATATTGCGTACAAGTGCAGGATATGGCTGTTCTCTTTGTGGTACAAAGAAGGATGGCCAATACCAGAGACTTCAACTTCTCTCCCAGAAATGGTCGCTAGTGTTCAAGGTTCTCTACCCACCACCACCTTCCCCAAGTTAAAGCCACTCACCCCATTATGGACACACCCAAACTCAGCTGTCAGCTGAGACGCACCAGAAAACTTTTTAGAATCACATCTCTTAACTTCCTAGGTAACTCTTTTCTTATGTCATCTCAGGATGTTCTAAGGAATCAAAGAGACATTCTAATAAACACCATAGCTACCACTGTCTCAGTCAAAACAATGTATATGCTGATTAGAGAGAGAGACTTCATAGACCTGGAGTCATATGAAAAAAATTATTGGCATTTACAGAATCTGTTAGGCTAAGCCCAGAGTATTGTCAAATAAATAATTAAGAGAGTCAGAAATGCTCAGTTGTCAGGTGTTGGTTTTTCATCTCCACATTAAAACTATAAAGTAAAGGTACATCTACCCAATGCTGACACTGTTACACCAAACAGGACTCTACTCTGCAAGGAATCCCACTGATTTTAGCCCAGTAGTAAGCTGGTACGGTTTCTATTGACTTCAGTGGGAGTTCCCATTTACTGTCAGGCTCAGTTTGACCCAATCACTCATAAGCATTTCACTGATTTCAATGGTCTCTCTGTCACAGCGTAACACAGAGATGACTCAGTCTGAAACAGGATAGCAGCAGCTGACCATAGGAACACAATTTGGGCCATACTATGCAGTTGTTCTACTGCTGCGCACTAACAAAAATAATCCCTTTTATTCGAATGGGAATAACTTGGGTAAGTGCTCTCCACCATCCAAAAGAGTTGCTCAGTCCAGCCATTCTGTCAAAAAACTGTAGCATGGCATGCAGCTTTTTAATTAATACACATATTAAGGCAGGGATGGGCAATAATTTTTGTCTGAGGACCACTTCAGAAATTTTTGAAGTGGCCTCAAGCTACCCTGGAAGGGGCAGGCCTCATGTGGAAGCGAAGGGCCAGGACACTTCCGAGCTTCCCCACCCACAGACCCTGATTGGTCTGGGGGTGGGGGAGCACGCAAAGTCTTCTCCTCTCCCCCTCCCCTCGAGAGAGAACCGCCAGTTGTTCTGAACAGCTGGTGATTCCCTTTAGGTACCCATGCCCCTGGCAGTGGGAGGAGACTTTGTGTGCTCCCCCCTGCTGTCCCTAGGTCAATCAGGGCCTGGAAAGGCGGACCACGTGAAGTCTCTTGCTTCCTGCCCCCACCCTGCAAGGAAGCAGCATACTTAAGAGTCAACCACCAGCTGAGCAGCAGCTGGAAGTTGACTTTAAGTGCTAATCCCCTTGCAGGGCAGGGGGAACACGCAGTCTTCTCCCACCCTTCCCCTGTCTAGCACGGAGCATGCGGTGCTGAGCCCCTCGCAGGGCGGGAGGAGACTTCACGTGCTCTCCCCACCCTCAGGCCAATCAGAGTTTGGGGTGGGGGGAGCGGTAGGGCCTCCATGGGCTGGATCAACTCCTTTGGAAGGCCTAATCCAGCTCACAGAGGCCCTTTTGCCCACCTCTGTATTAAAGTATTTTCTCCCTCCTCCCCTGTGTTTCTCGTCTCCAATACTCCATGCAAAACACTCAGGCTACATCTAGTCTGCAGGCTTCTTTCAGAAGAAGCTTTTCTGGAAGAGATCTTCTGAAAAAACTTCGAAAGAGAGCAGCCACACTGCAAATGTGCATTGAAAAAGCAATCTGCTTTTTCGAAAGATCTCGCATTTAAGCTGTGATTGCTAATGCCCCTGCCCCCTTTGCCCTCTTTTCCCTGATGCTCACCCTCATCACCCTCTTCCCCGTCCATACATGTCTTTTTCCAAAAGAGCTCTTTCGGAAAAAAGCTTCTTCCTCATAGAAAGAGGTTTACCTATGTCTGAAAAACCCCTCTGTTCTTTGGATTTTTTTTTTTTTTGAAAGAACGCAATTGCAGTGTGGACCTTAAGTGAAGTTTTTTCGGAAAAACAGCCATTTTCCCAAAAAACTCTGCAGTGTAGACATACCCTCAGTCTCTTAATCCCCTACTTCTGCTGCTACCCAACTTATGCCTCCCTTGCCCTTACTTGCCCTCCCACTTGCCAACTCCCTTCTACCAGCCCCCCACAGCTGCTCAGCCTCTATTCTGCTCTACAAAGAACAGAGGTAGCTCCCCCAATCATTAACAGCAGAGACAGCAGCTCCTTGGTGCCTTCTATCTACCACATGTTCCACTAGTAGCAGGGGTGGCACCGTACTCCATCAACAAACCAGAAGCTGGTCAAATGCCCCAGTCTCCAATAGGCCATTCTAGGCTTGATTGCTTCCCTTTTCTAATTACCATAGGAGGATGTAATGACTCACCTCCCCTCCTGCCCCCATCCCTGCCATGACTGGTTAGGGGCAATGTTCATCTATAAACCACAGCGTAATTGTATGGTCAAGGAATCCTGCGTAGTTTCAGTTCTCTGGCCACCTTCAAAAAGGCCATGGAAATGTTTGGATAGTTGGGGAGTAACAAAGAGGAAATGTTTATATCTTATTCTTCCCCCAAGAAGGAATAATACTGTAACATCCCTTGTCCCTGAGGGTCCTTTCAAGGTACAGTCCCGGAATAATACTGTAACACTTCATCCCTGTGAGTTACTATCTGGAGGCACACAGAGGTAAAGGTTTAGTGAAGGTCACACAAGACAATCCAGGAGAGAGCTGGAGACAGCAGGGCGAATTGATTTATATGACAAAGTGGAAAGCTGGATTTAAATCATCTGAGTTTAACCAACTTTTTCATTTGTACTTCAGTTATTTTCTAAAGGAAGGTGGTTTCTTATTCATTACCATTGCCATTTCCAACTAAACAAAGTCTCTATACTAGGTTTGGTACAGCTTTTCGCTGTCTAGGAGGGCATGCTACACCGTGATACATATTTTTAAGCACATGATATGGCTTCATATTTTCAAATCTTTATTAACTGTACATTTTAGTATGTTAGAAAATGGTAACTGAAGGGTGGAGTCATGAATATTCATACATTGAGAACTGAGCCCGGCATAGCTCCTGTAGAAGGAAGCTATAAAACGGGGAGTCTGAAGCTATGCAGGTAGGATTGCCAGATGGTTTCAGAAAAAATAGCGAACAACAAAAACATACCAGGAAACAGTTTGTTGAGCCAAAAAAAAAAAGGACTCTGAGAGTCGTTACGCCATCTTGCCTCCCTGCACCAGGCCAGACAACTCACCTGTGGAACCCGGTAAGCACGAGGGTGGCCAGGCTGCCTCCCTATTGAGCTGGACAGCCTGGGATTTTCACCTTCTGGCCAGGAAAAAAAAATCAGAAAGTATCAGACATTTTAGGTATCCGGTGTTTTCTGAATTTTTTTTTTTAACCATACAGGAGGTGAAAATACCGGACTGTCTGGTTCAGTACCGGACATCTGACAACCCTATACACAGGCGGGCTCAGTGGATGATCCCGATGAGATGCACAATGGTGTCCCCCAGAGTTATATGCCCGGTCCCAATGCTGTGATGACTTTGCCAGTCTTTAGAATCCAGAAAGCACATCCCCCGGTGCCCCACACAAAATAATACATGACCTCTTGTTCCATATTTGTAAAGCTTGACTTAAACCACCAGAGTTCACCTCCGAATTTTTTCTTTATAAATTCAGGGAACCTTTAATTAAAAAATTGTGATACACGCTCATGGATTCAGCTTATTTATTCTTTATTTAAATGTTTTAAGAGATTACAAGCCTTAACATATTTTGTATTCAATTCAATTTTCATTTTAAACAGGTTTATTTTTAAAAAGATAGCTCATCATCATTTAAACAAAGGCAGACAATCCTATTCAATTTTTGTAAAAATCTGATTATTTTTATTTTCCCTCGCCCCCCAAAATAATTAATTTTATATACCCTAAAACCCAGATATTCTGAAGCCTAGTCCTAGGCTTTAATCTTAGGACATTGTATGCTTCATGATTACTTCTATAGCAACCATAGCCGGGTAGCCTTTTGTAGGAACAATTATGAGGACAAGGCCCCAGACCAGATAAGCAATACAAAAACCTTTAATAAAATTCCTTTCTTACATATGAACAGAATATAAAACACTGAATCTATGCATAAATGTTTTATTTAATTGTTTTTAAATCACTGGAATTGACAGAGAATGAGAGCTCCATAAAATGTGCCATACATTCAACAAAGATATATTTAAAGTCATTGATTTTTTCATTCTCTGAGGTGATCACTGCTACAGATAATTCCTTATGTATAAAAAGTTCTGTAACGTTGCTTTTAAAGCATTTTTCAAGGTAAAGTCCAGGAGAGTTTCTAGCCAAGTATCCCAGCTTTTTGAATGCTCTAAATAGAAAATGACTTTAGCCACTAGTCCACTGGCTTCTCTTCCGGCATTTGCAGCTCTGGCATGAAAGAAACATGAGCCTAGAGCATACTGTTTTTGGTAGTGACAGCAGACTGTTGAGAATCTGCACACTAAAGAGTCCCAACACAAGAAAGGAAAAAAACAAGTTCATTTTATCTTCAACAATACTTTTACCACAAAGCCAAGAGAGCTTCAGAACTATTTCTTAGCAGCCACTTAACAACCACGCCCCTATTGTTTCATACAACAATAGAAGAAAAAAAAAAGACCACCAGGTACAAAAATCTTAGTACTACAAGTTATTAAAAACCAACCCATTAAAACGTGTCAGAAAGTGTTTGCATACATGTAGAAATACAATCCCATTGAAGCAGCGTACACCAGAAATGACAGTCGTGACATTTTTTAATTAAAAAGAGAGAAGCCCAGATGTTCTTGTAACACCAGAACATTTGAGAAAGGGAGAGGAATAAAACATTCATCATCTGCCATGCCACATCCATCGTCTTAGTAAGGTCACTTCAGGCATAAAAGAGCATGGTGTCAAACAAAAAGTATGGAGTTAGAGTTTGACTGTAGCACTCCATGCCAGGCCCTCAGATTGAGAAACTTTCCTGAGTTTTGGTTTATTTATGGAGATTTGCCAACGGCCCAGGTAGTCCCCTGCAGATACCAACAGAGAGGTTCCTAACTGTTACTTTTGGGACGTGCCAATCTTCTTTGCACCCAGCATCGCTTGCCACCCCAGCCATCCTGGGACATGATCTGCTCTATAGAACCCCCGGTGTGCAGGGGGCACATACAATACTGTGCTTGGCTCATGCCCCGCCCACACAGCCCAATCCTGATCCCACTGAAGATAATGAAAATTTTGCCACTGAGGCAGGATTTGGCTCCTAGAAGCAGAGGACATCTACTTCACAAAATGCACAGGGAGTGGGCTCCCAGAGGTCAAGCCAGCCACTGTGGGATTTAATGTAGACTGACAAGAATACAGAAACAAAGAAAGCTAAAGCACAATAGCAAAGGACAACTTGGTGTCAATTATCCTAAAACAAACATCCCTGATAGAATTTGCTGCATTGTGACTACATGCTTTTTTTCTTCTTCACAAGACTATCACCTCCAACTCTATTAAAGATGGCCCATACCTAAAGCCTGGCAGAGCCAAATACAGCAAGTTAAGTGAGCATACCTGATTGAAAACAGATGAGGTGCTATCCCAAACGTGTTGCCTTTCTCCTTTCTGGAACTTTTTTAGAAACCAAAATGTCTCAGTGGAAAGCTCACGCTGCCCTAAACACCAGTATCTGCAGGAAGGCAGTGTTTATCTGGCAGGAAAGAATGAGTCTCATAAAGAAGGCAGCAGCACAAACTGTTTGAGACTCTGTAATCATTCTGCGTTCATCTCCTACAGGTCAAGAAAGGCTCATTATGGCAAATGGCTGAAGCCAAAGGGCTTAATAACAGAACACTAAAACTGTATTCCACTTAGTGTTGCCAGAGAAATTCCAGTTCTCAGAAAGGGCACAATGACTGATATTGGCAAACATACAATTATATACAACTTATAGTTTATATATAACATGATATGCCCCTCCAACCTTCTCACTTTCTCTTCTGGCTATTACCCATCTTTCTCAAAGTAAACAGTCTGGAAGATCTTAAATAGCAGAAAAAGAATTATTCTTCTCTTTATGCCTATTCCTTTTTAGCATTTGCCTATTTGGCTAACCAAAAAAAACCCCCCAAACCACTCCAGTGCACAGACAGGTCTCACATGGCATTCCGTAATACTAATGTGAATCTCAATATTCAACTAACTACATTTTTAGAAAGCAGGCCTTTCTCTCTAGATTACTACTTTACTTCTCACAGTGTTCTCCATGCCAAACCTTACCCATTTTCATTGCCACAACTTTATTCCTGACTTTCCCTATTTCTCAACCACTGCTTAGAAATTTATCACTGGTGCGCCTGGCAATGCCCATCTACTTGCCCCCTTCAGCCCTGTTGTAGGCACCCCAGTAAACCACTCTGAGTCATGCACCATCAGTGGCCCAGTTGTGTACTCCAGTACAGGAAGCAAGACTACTATGTTAGACTCTTCTCCGCCTCCCCATAATTCTTCCTTCATCCCACCTGGTAACTAAACTATGTCTGTTTTAGATTTCACCACATCATCCACACCATAACCTCCCTGAAACTAACCCTCACTTTGATCCATTCACTGCCACACTGATCCAGCAGTGTGAGTATGTGCACAACCTGTACATTTCCATTTTACACTGGCTTCCCTTCACAGTCCCTTTCTCTGTTTCCACCTTCCTGCTCCACTACACCCATCTTTTTTTGAAACCTTGACAGTGTCTTCATACATCACTTGAAATCTCTAACTCTGATATTTCAAACTCAATTTCAATGTACACACTTTATATAAATAGGTAAAAGCGTCAGACAAAATATTCTATCATCTCTGTGGTTTAACATTTCTTTAAATAGCATTAAAAACACAAACATCCAGCCCTTGCAATTATACGTACGTAGGTACACACATACACACGCGCACTCACGTGTGAATTTATAAGGCTCATAGGTATGTATGCAAAAAATAAAGACTGTCTAACCCCCCCTCCCCTGAAAAAACATATTCTATATAATGAATCTGAAGCCAGAGGCAAACCATTTAAAAAAAAAACTTCTTATATTTGCGAGCATTCTTCTCTCTTCTGTTTTCAACTCATCAAAAGAGTATTTACAAGCAGAAAAGCTGCACAAGCAGGCTTCAAAACACTGTTGACCTGTAACCGTCACCACTGTGCTTCAGAGCGCCTTTGTACTGGCTGGGTGTGTAGTGTGTGATGCTGGCTTCTGAGGGTAATAACTGTAGAAGTAAACCTGTAGGAGGATGGCCATGTCCACAAACACCTGGAGGAGACCGCATATGGAGAACTGGAAAGGAGCCTGGTTCAGAATAAAGTAAAAAGTCTTGAAGGTATCACCACTGGTCCACATCAGCACCATCTTGACACTACAAAAAGGAACCAAAAAGAAAAAAAGAAGAATTAAAAAGGGCACGATTGAGGAATCTCCTGGGGCTAACTGGCATCTGCACAGAGGGTTTGTACAATTTTAACAGGATCCCCTTCAGCCAGATGCATGCATATTAAATTGACCAAAAGGTGGCATGTGAATTGTCTGCCAAGAGACCCCTGGTCATCACTGTAAAGTGTACATATGCTCATTTGTTTAAGGAATGAGGTTTCTGTTTCTGAAAATTATGTTCTGAAAGTATGTGATTAAAGGCAGATCAGCAGAAGGGGATAAGTAAGTAGAAGGGAAGAGATGCTTATCTTTCTTTACCTGGTCACCTGTTTAATGTCCGTTTCACAACAGAGACCTTTTTTGCATTATTGAGCATAATGCTAAATCAAGAGGTTGTGAATTCAACAGGACAAAAGATGTAGAACAAGCAAAATCAGCAAGGAAATTTACAAGCAAAAACAGTGGATTCAGGAGGGAGGTATAATTGCCTAAGAGACAAACTGTTAGCACGTTCTCTCTTATGAGAGGGTTGCAGCCAGGCTGGCTGGCAAATGCTGCAAAGACTTTGGGGGAACTGAACTTCATTAGACAGGAACATACCTTGTCAGTTAAATAGTCCATGTTACAATTTTATTTTACTTGTTTGTATTTGTTTCCAATACTTTTACAGGGTGAACCTCTCCAGTCCAGCACTCTCTGGTCTGGCAACATTCATGGTCCAGCATGATTTTAGTTAGCTGGATGTTCACTTATCTATCATGTGTGGTCACGTTTCCCATGGTCCCTTAAAGTTTGTTTGCAGCCACCAGTCCTGGCTCTCAGGGTTCTGTGCTGTTATTGAGCTCTAATTTACCCCTAAACGTCTTCTAGGAGCCCAGTGAGCAGTGGAAGTGTTGGCAATGCTGCTAGACAATATTGACTTCCCATGGTCCAGCAAATTCTCTGGTTTGGCACCAATCAGGACGCGAGGGGCCAGACTAGAGAGATTCAACCTGTACTTGCTCTCTCTCAAATTTCTATTCTTTGTTAAATACATTTATATTTGTTTTCACTATCAACATATCTAAGTGCTGGGATCTCATCTAACGTGTCACTGGTAAAGGAGACTCTCAGGTTGCAGTGACAGCCATACTCAACTGCAGAGGGAGAATTTCTCTGTTTTATCCATGACAGGTAGAGTCAGGGAGCTTTGATATAGAATTATCTTTACCAGACCATGACAGCATTGGTCAGTCAGTACCTGATGCTGCAGCAATAGACTACCACCAAGTCCACACCACATACACGACACAGCGCTGTAGTTAAGGGTGGATAATTGCTTCCTGACACCTATTGCCTAAGATTTTGTTATCTTAGTACCTACAGATATAAATGCTAGTGATCAAGGAGTTATCCAGCTCCTTTTAAAAATCAAGCTGTGATATTAGACTTGATGAAATCCTATGGGGAAAAAAATTACACACATTGATTATGCTGCGCATAAAATTAAGTAGCACAGTGAACAAACAGACTTCAAATCTATTCACTGCAACATTTTGACCTCCTGTGCATGACTTTTTTTTTTAAACACACACCCACACACACAAATCCCTCTAGTCACAGTCTAAATAAACACACAAAGAACTGATTTCTTGTACGTCATACCATGCAATATGTGCTCGAGTCAAAACAGGTAGTCCATCAGTACACACACAAAAAAGCAATGGATGCATCTGCAGCTATTTATAGCAAGATTAAAAATCCATCAAGGAGGTTTGCTTCCATCGTTTATATTTGTGCCAATGCCCAAACGTTAAGGTATCTATCATTCCTCCCATCTTTCACTATCTCCTGATTTCATTTTGCTGAACCTTTGGCCCTTCGCTACTTGTCCCTCACCTCTGGTGCATTTCTGGTCCTCCCATTCAAGCTTCAGGAGAAAGTCTGGGGAACAGAAATAAGATTTTTAAACTTAAAAACTTAAGACATAAGGTTATTTTGGTCATGCCCTCAATATTGACAGTCAAGGATGTGAGCAATCAGTTTCCGAAAGCTGGTTCTGGTCTTCATATAATATAACTGGAGAACTTTTTAAAAGGGCAGATTAGCAATACTAAATAATAGCTCTGCTGTTCACAGTTACATTAGCATAGCTATTATGCAGCCCATAGATGAAATGTTAGAATTATGTATGATTGAGTTTTGTCAGACTTGATTATAATTCATCAAATGTAACCATGCACACACCTTAGAGAAGGAACAGGGGTTAGTGTTCATTTCCTAAACATTCAAAGGGGTGAGGGGAAATCCTGATAGGTCAATTTGTATTTTGGATACAAATATACCACTCTACCATAGGCCAATTCGGCACTGTTTGTGGCACTATTTCTGCTCTGACCGTACAGCAAGGCTCAGGGCTTTCTCCACCCTCTCTCCCCCACAGGAAGCCGGCACTGGCTAACAATTTTGCGTCAGGTGCGAGGCTGGAGTGCCACCATAGGTTCCCCATTGCAGAGGGAAACAAAGGGGGGTCTGAGCTCGAGCTGCAAGCTATATTTGGCTCCTAAGTCAGCCATATTTGGCTCATAAGCCATAGGTTGCCAACCCCTGCTCTAGCCCTTACTGTAATAAGAGACAAGGGAGATAAAAGATTCTGATCCATCCCAAAACAGGAGTATAAGCCTTTTGCAACATTTACACGCCAGAGTAGGTGACTGAGATTATAAAATAAAAGACCATTAGCAACCTACATATTATGAAACTACCAAAGGAGTGCATGTGCAAAGCTGCAAACTGGACATATAATTCAATACATAATAATATATGACCAGTTCAATCTCAAACTGTGCAGAAACAACAACAAGAAAAAAAGATAAGGTCTGCCAGTCTCTTCTTTTTACTGAAAGAACACACTGCCCTGCTGTGTTACAAATAACACCAGCCACACCAATAAACCAGCTTACAGAACATTTTTTAGATAGTTGCGTATGCAGATTTTTAAAAACAGAAACTAAACTGAACATCCTGAGGAAGTAAGACGGGAACACAATGCATTAGGATATTTCATTTGCAGACAGCTAAAATGACTCCTGGTGATAAGAAGCAGATGGATGTTTGCTATGCAGCTGATGGTCGAGACACAATTTAATTGTGAATCTGTCCCTTTACAATTTTGTTTGTTCAATAAAAATCATCCCATGCTTAACAAGTGTGTGTCTGGCCTGCTCAGTCTGGTGCAATAATACACTAATTGTTTGGATAAATCCAATTAAATGATGTCTCATCGATTTTAAGTAGGAGGTAAAATCCAAAGGACAAAACCTGGAACGTCTTTCTTTGCCAGATATTCAGCAAAGAAAACTCACTTCAGAAAAGGGGGCTATTTTAAAATATCCCAGACTGTTGTTACCCAAGAGAGTGGGCTGTTTCCAAGGGAAATGTGGATCAGCAGCACTCTATAAGCCATGAGGGAGTTTAGTCTCCTGGTAAGAGAACTATAGCCAAAGGCAAAAACCTTTTGGATACAATGTAGAGCTTTCTGAGCAAAGCACATATGGCAATGGGGATGCAGATCTCTTAGTCACATGTTCAGATAAACCAGACTGAACTTTCATCAGGAAATATGATCTTGTTTGCAAATGCTGGTTTACAAATTTGGTGTGTGATCCTGAATTCTTTGCACACTGAAGAGCCCTAGTAACTGTAACAGAGTTTTTTAAATGCTCAAGGAAATGGCGTTTACCAGGACACCCTTCAACAGAACACCAAATTATTTAGCCGCATATCTACAAAACCATTGACATGAAATGAATATAGCTTAAAAGTTAACATCAGACATCAGAAATTGTACATTAGTTGGGGCATAACAACAGAAGAAAATCTGCAAATTAATCTTGGGGCTAAGGTTAAAAAAAAGCTATGAAAAAAATTATAAAAAAGCAATACAATAATTGTGACAAACCTTATTTCACAAAAATGCATCTAGGCCATAGGGCGTAGGAAATAATCAGGCCACCCTACACAAATAAGTAGAACTTGTGTGGTCACTAAATCACATCACACACACCTATATTTACAAACTCTGCTTGGGTTCTTAACTCAAACATGTTTTTTCTTCATTTATATCATTATTTCTGAGGTGGGGCTGAGGATGAGGGGTTCAGTGTGCAGGCTTTCCCAGGGAGAGAGGGATAATTGCAACCCTCCGTCTCTGAGAAGCACCTGTCCATGGCCACTGCAGCTCCAGTGGGAACAGAAGTAGTGGGAGGGAGAAATACAAAAAACAGGGATGAGCCATGTCACAGCATCACTGGTTAGCAAGAAAGAGATAAATGACACCATACGTTTCTGCAACAATTGCAACAATGGATATGGCTACTGAAGTCAAGGAGCCAGGAGTCACTCTAGAATAGATTGTGTTGCCAGAGGCTGAAGCTGACTTGCAACAAAAATAGCACTTCCCATGAATGTAAATCACAACTGCGGTATCCTGTGACAACAGACCTCCTAAATCAAGTGCTTTCTTACAAGTGATCTTGTTACAGGGAGTTGCTAATTTAATGTTAATGTCAAGTCTCCATAACATTTAAACTGACCATAAATGAGGCAAATCTCTTGGGATTTTTTCTGTTGTGATTTACTCTTACAAACATAAAAGGATAACCACTAATTATGCTATTGAAATAATGCTCAGAAGAACAGCATGTGCTTTTATAACTTGATAGACATTAGACGATCTCTCTTTCTATTGGCGTTGCCAAATACTAATTTTAATATGCTAACAAAAATCCCTGAGACAAGGCAGGCAGTTTTTCATTAGTGAAGGCATATTTGGTCTACATTTTTGTACAACTTACTTTGCTAAAAAATACATTTTCCCAAGAAAATAGCTTTTATTTTTAGTTTATTGTAATATTGTGGGCTGAGACTGCAATTTGAAGTTACAAATTACAGAAACTAGAACTGGATATCTATCAGCTCACCTTGTCGATACCCAGCCAACAAAGG